AGGATGGGCATGAGACTCAGTTCTAGCCAATCAGTGGATCCTGATACTCAGACCACAGTCATAGATAGATAATAGCCATGACAGCATTATATAATTTTGAATCACTTTAATTCTAAAGAAAAATGTGACAAATAATGTGTGGAGAAAGAAGGAAAAGGTGCAGTTAAGATTTGGGGGCGTATATAATAGCAAAAAATAGAGACCTAAATAAAAGACCAACTTCCAAACTCTGCTATTAATTACCTAAGTGACCTGAGTCAAGCCCTTCCCTTCTCTGAGCTTCAGTTTCCTTGTTCATGGTATGAGGAGTTCAACGCAACTGTAATCAGGGTCTCTTTTCCTTCCTAAATCTCTAAGCCTTTCTTAAATTTAGAAATTCAGCAGTCAAGTCCGCACCTCCACTTTGGGCATTTTCAGAAGTGCAGGTGCTATGCCTTGGTTTATGACAATGATCTTTTCACAGTCTTGGCCCTCAGGGAACTTGCAATGGATGATTTTGAAGTAGGCCAAAAATCTCCCTTCCCTTCCCTGCGGTCTAAGCTTTTGACCTTATCATTCCCAACCATTAAAACTTGTCCTCTTTAATGACAGTTAATCAGGAAACGAATCTCTGTGACACCTTGCTTCATTTTTTTCTCCCCTGGAGACTTCCTGTCTTCTTCCCTTTCTTCATTCCAGGAACACTGATACATTTGACAGAGGTCATCGGGCCACATGGAAAGAAATGATGTTTTATTCATAATTGATTTACAGAGCATTTCAGAATTCAAAAGGTGGGCCGATCCACTAAATGGAGGCAGGGTAGTTCTATTACAGATTCGAGGTATTTTGAAGGATCTTTCTCCTCAATGTGCAGCATATATAAGGATGGTCTTGGCTATGTTCAGCCACTTAAAGTTGAAAGAACCCAACTGTGGCTTCTGTATCATCAATTAGCTCTATTACTTGCAGACTAGACATCCAGGTGACTGGTTGATCTAGTTTTTCCAGCTGGATTAGCAGCTCAGATCCAGTGTGAAGGTCTCTTCAGATATCAAAGCTACTGTAAAGTCTTGGATCTTTGAAGCAATGATTACCCTTCTTTAACCCAACCAGTAACCCTTCTTTCTACCTCCCTGGACACTAGAAATTCCAAATACCCTACTGCAGATCCTGCCCTTCCAGGTTGGATAAGGAAAGTACGGGCACTTAAAAAATGGTTCCTGTTAACATGTTACTTTTAGCTAGGAGACTAGGGGAGTAGTTGGCACTTTCTTACTCCCCTGGGTGAATTCTCTCTGCAGAAACTGAACCAAATTTATTACTGACTTGCTCACTCTTGGGGCTGCTAGAATTGGGAGGTGAGAGGGTGTGGGCAGAAATACAGTGCCCAAGACTCTACAGTATTTCCAAGGGTGGTGCAAATCCCTAGAAGGCAAAATGAAGCATTTATTTGGAGGGGCGAGGACGGGGGGAAAATACACCACTGTGAAGATGAAAAGCAGAAAATGTGGAAACAGTGTAGGAATGAGGGGGTAAGAAGTTCCAAAGACAAATTTACTACCCTCACAATTTTGTTTCAATCAGATCTACCCACTAAGCAGTAAACTCATTGATTGCTCCAAGGGGTGGGGGGCATAGAACCTTATCTGGGTTGACTTTTCCAAGTGGGGAAGGGGAGAGTGGGAGATCTAAGTGAGACACAAAGACTGTGGTACCATTTACCCCTACCTTACCTAGGCATCTGTTGAATGCTTTTCTTCCTTAAGTGGTTTGAGACAATCCTTGGACTTAAAACCAATGAGAATGAATTGAATGTTAAAAATACCCACTTCACTGAGGAAGTGATTGGATTAATTAGATTCTCTTTGTGTTATTTTTAGTTCTGGTATATTTGATTGTCTTTTTTTTTTTTTTTTTTTTTTTTTTAAACAAAGCTACACTTTAGCAAGTGAGCAGTTGGCAGTATGAGATGAGTGAACTGCCATAAACTCTTTGTAGCTTCCCTGATTCTTTGCAATGCCTGCTACTACAGGTTATCACAATTCATTATAATAATAGAAACCCTGATTTCCTGGAAAGAATGTGCTCTCTTTTTTTTTTCAATTTTTTAAGTGTTTATTTATATTTGAGAGAGAGAGAGAGAGAGAATGAGTGAGGGAGGAGCAGAGAAAGATGGAAACAGAATCTGAAGCAGGCTCCAGGCTCGGAGCTGTCAGCACAGAGCCCGATGTAGGTAGGGCTCAAACTCATGAGCCATGAGATCATGACCTGAGTCGAAGTCGGATGCTTAATGGACTGAGCCACCCAGGTGCCCCAAGAATGTGCTCTAACTCTTACAAGAAACTAGAAAATAGTTAAGGACTTAAATTTTTTTCTCCTTTTGGTGTCGAATCTTGCTCTCAAAACAAGTTTTTGTAAATTTGTTTTGGTTTTTATTGTTAATTTTACATTTAATCTTCATGAAGGCAAGGATTTTTTATATGGTTTGTTCACTTCTTATCCCCAGGGCCTACAGTATAGTAGGCATTCAATAACTACATGTTGAATGAATGAGTGAGTGAATGAACCCATGAATCATAAGTAAATAGCACTTTGGTACCTATCAATACAGAATGCTAAGCTAGGGTTAGGGTTAGGGTAGAGCTATCAAGTCACAACTTTGAGCAGTATGATGATGACATTCTAAAAGACAATATGAAGGCACTTAGACTTTTAAAAAATGCGAATTAGGGGCGCCTAGGTGGCGCAGTCGGTTGAGCGTCCGACTTCAGCCAGGTCACATCACGATGATCTTGCGGTCCGTGAGTTCGAGCCCCGCGTCAGGCTCTGGGCTTATGGCTCAGAGCCTGGAGCCTGTTTCCGATTCTGTGTCTCCCTCTCTCTCTGCCCCTCCCCCGTTCATGCTCTGTCTCTCTCTGTCCCAAAAATAAATAAACGTTGAAAAAAAAAATTTAAAAAAAATGCTAATTACACAAAATGAAGGAATTTTTATGGAAGCACTTCAAAACATTAGAAGTTATATAAATATATTATTAGTTAAACTTTTGCATATGTATGATTTGCAATCTTAATGTTTATTGTGTTTGACTTGCAATTGATTCTACTAGTAAAGGCGCTGTGCTACGGCCAAAGATGCCAAGTGAGATTTTCGAGTCTCTGTTAAATATGTGAAGTTTCCACAAATACCTAGAGATCTGGTATGTTTCCTGAAGAGGCAGAAGATCAGGCGATGTGATAAGGTAAAGAGACACTTCCATTCCATCAGAGTTCACTGGGGAGGAAACCAACAGCACAGAGGCAGCCTGTGTTAAAATGGCTGGGATACATTCACTTTGCCATTTGAAGGAATTCAGCAGTACAGACGACAGCTACATAAGCAAAAAAGCTCAAGTCCACACAAGAAAGTCTTATCTGAATGCTTTGCTCACTTGGAAAAGAATAAGTCTAGGACTGTCCAACTTCCACAACAAAGCAGAGCTTTGGTAAATTCCCATCATCTAGGAAGTAGAGCCTCTTTTTGCTAAACTAGCTATCTGCAGATCTCCTAGGTGTAAAAAAGAGTGAAAAAAGGTCACCAGATATATAGGTAGATGGGCTGTGATCACAGGTCTTGAAGTATTGGGGGAATGCAAAAACCATCTAGCGATAAAGCCTGTCTTTGTTGGGGGTGCGGGGGGCGTCTGGGTGGCTCAGTCGGTTAAGCTGGTCTTTGTTGTGTCTCTGAATTCAATGATTAAAAAAAATTTATTTTTATTCCATCTATTAAATGTGAATATATCCGTGAATTCTGGCATTCCTGGTCCTCGGAGCTCCAAATGCCTGAAATAGGAACGGCTGTAGTGTGAATTAGTTGGCCTAAGCTCTTGGGCTGCTTCCAACTTCGCTACTGCTCATGCCCCACAGGTCAAGGAAAGAAGTGATGTAATGCACTTAGCTGGGCCACTTTAATTACAATGCAATGGGGAGGGGGAGGGGTTACAGGCGGTGACAAGTTTAGCGCATGACTTGCCCTGGGATGCAGGAAACAAAAACACGGACAACCATTGGCTGCGTCCACTTCCGACCCGGTATCTAGCTCCAAGTCTGGAACCTTGAAACACTTATTTCCTGGGAAGAGGGGTGGCGCTAGCCCACAGAGCGTCAACCATAAACATACAGCGCGCGCACACACACACACACACACACACACACACACACACACACACACGGAGGCTGGCAGCGTCCTCCCCGCTGAGATGGGCGTGGGGCCGAGCGCTTGGCCCACGGTCCCCAGAAGGTTCCCCCAAAGCCCGCCACAGCAGCCGGGCTCAGCGCTCGGAGCCCGCGGAGGACCCGCGTCCGCGGAAACTGGTGTCACTCGGGCCCGCTCTAAGTGAGCCGCGCTGGCGTCATTCATTCGCAGTGTCCGGAGCGTCCTTCCAGCTGCAAGTGGGGCTTCGCCGCAGGTGCGAGTGGCCCCGACGCGGAGCGTTACCGCGCGGTGACCTCGAGGGCGCGGAGCGGCTAGAGACTGAGGAGATCTGGAGCTCGGCTAGGTGCTGCTGTAGCAGCCGCGCCCCAGCCCAGCTCGGCGCTCGCCGCGGGGCCGTGTCGGCTGCAGGCTCCCGCAGCCCTGCTCGCCGCCGCCGATCCGGATCCCGGGACTGAGCGCCACCACTTCCTCCTCCTTCCGCTCCTCTTCCTCCTCCTCCTCCCGCTCCTCGCGCCGCCGTGGGCCGGATCCGGGCTGCGGGGCGGCGGGCCTGGGCGTCTGCGGCCGCGGGCTCGCGGGGGGCGGCGCCGCCGCGGGGAGGATGCTGCTCGCCGCACCCGCGTCCTCGCCGTCCTCCCCGGCCGCCCGCGGGGGCTTTGTTGTGGCCCGGCCTCCGCGGACCGCCGCCTGGTGAAGTCGCTCTTCGCCGCCGCACCTAGCGGGCGGGAGGGCGCGCGTGTGCCCGGGAGTGCGCGCCTCTGCGTGCCGGTGTGTGCAGGACCTGACCCGCGGGCCCATTGTGCGTCCGCCCGCGGCGCCCGGGAACATGTGGGTGAACCCCGAAGAGGTGCTGCTGGCCAACGCGCTGTGGATTACGGAGAGGGCCAACCCCTACTTCATCCTGCAGCGGAGGAAGGGGCACGCGGGCGATGGAGGCGGCGGCGGCGGACTAGCGGGTAAGGACCGGCGGCCAGTCCCTGCGGGAGGGGCCGGGAGCGCTGCGGCGCCGCCCGAGGCCCTAGGCTGCGGGCGCCCGGGACGCCGCCCGGTCCCCCGGGGCCGGGCGACCCGTCCCACTTTGGTGAGCGGAAGACCTCAGGAGTCCTGATTTTTCAGTCTGTGAAAGAGATGATTCTTCTCTGACCCTGTCAGGCTATGGGGCCCTTCGAGTACCGGGTGCCCCCTAGGTGGGTGATGTTGATGAGATTGGAGGTGGGGGAGGGTGGGGGGAGCAGCCCTTATGAATTAAATGCAGCACTTCTTCCTACCTCCCCACCCTCCTTAAAAATTATCGTTTTATATATGGGCAAGAGAGGCAAAAGATGGTTCATTTTGACTTCATTCTCTTTACTGATCATGGCAGGATCAGGTATAAAATGCTCTTTTGTTTTCAGGGAAGCAATCAGTAAGAGACTGGTGTGGTCATTTCCTAGATTAGTTATGACTGAAGAGAATGAATAAGGAAAAAGGATATTGTTGTTGTTGTTGCACCTAATAAGACCTAAGAAAGCAAGTTACCTGATTGTGAAACGAATTAGCGCTGTAACTGCATTTTAACTAGTTTAACTCACTTACCCGAACCCCCTCACAAGGTGTTATTAATGCCTTATCATTTCGGGACTATAAAATCAGACCAATATCCCAAGTAGTGCCCTATTAGAAAGGTCTTCGTTATTAACTCACAAGTTTGCTTGCTGGGAGGTGACCAATAATCTTGAACTCATACCATACTGGAGAAATTGGACCTTCCCCTCCCCATGGTGATTAGAACGAAGAGAACTGGGATACTTTTTACAGTGAAGAAGTTAGTTGGAGAAATAAAAGGGAGAGGTTTAACCAGGAAAGAGATTGCAGAAAAGAGATGAACCTTGACCTCTTCAGAATCCAAAATCTATCACCCTCTGGGAGTTTGCATGCTAGCTAAATTGTGGCTTTCAAAATGCCGTGCTATGAACTAAAAATTCTCGATGTGGTACGTATTTAGTTGAGATTGTAGTTTACAGGCTGGTTTTCTCAAGATTAAAATTCAAGTGGCACATTTTATGGCATATATTGGTTTGAAGGATCTTGCTAGTATAGGGTATGGCCTATGGCTAACCTGATTTTTCTATACATTTTCTGCCATGAAAGAGAAGGCAATATGCAGAGCTCCAGACCCTGTTCTGGAAATTCTGATTAGTGGCCTAGAATCAGAATTTTCCAGTTCATTTTGTAGAAGTTGTCTAACTATATACGCTAATATGTAGCTTGCGTATCTAAAACTGGGATCAGCTCAGATTGTCCTTTTTTAAACCTAAAACAACAATATAAAGTAGATCGTTTATTATATTAACAAAGAACATTTCCTACCTGAGGCTAACTGTCCTACGCCGTGTAACTACTATGTAGTATTTATTTTCTAGAGTCATTTGCAATAGATTATGAAAGATTCGGAGACGCAGAACCTTCTTTTCCTAGTTAATATTTTTATTATGTTCCTACTGACTCTTAGAGCTGTAAGTAACCATAGCCCGCTTGGAATCTCATTATTGATAACTCACTTCAGAAAGAAAGTTACATCTTTTTAATTGGAAAATTGTCATTATTGCACTTACTGCAAGAATAATTGAGATTATCATCATGGGTAAAAATATTACTGCCAACTAAGGCTCTTTTCAACTAACATAGGAAAAATGTCTGCTCTGATAGATTGGTGCCACATTAAAGGTAGCAGGGACATTTTAGAAATCCTTGTACTATGTATAGTATATTTGGATCCTAATGTGAGTTCCTTCATGCATTCATTAACGTACTAAATCATTTAACAAATATTTATTGGTAGTGCCTGAAGTGCCAGTGTCAAGAAGCTCACAGCCTTGTGGAGTAGACAAGTGTTTATAAAATAATCATAATTCATATAAAATTGCCAATCCACAGGGTCCCAGCAGAAAACAGAATCAAACCTAGTTCAGATGAAGAGTTTCTTGAAAAGACAACTTAGAAAGGTGGGGGCAGGGTTACCAGAACCAGTGAAAGACACAGTGGTGGGGGGGTGTTACCATCCTAGGCGGCAGGAATGAGGTTCCTGGAAGCCTTATGAGCTGGAGCCAGGCAGGAGGAGCTTTGGGCCTCTGGAGACGCAGCCTCCCCAGAAACACAGAGCACAGCAAAAAGGAAGTGGAAAGGACATGCCTGATTTCTCTCCTCTTACCCTGCCAGCTCCTGCCATTGCCTTTCATCAGTAGAACCCAAGAGAAGCCAGGTGGATAGGATGTCCTGGTGATCTAGTCCCAAGGGATCAGCCTCCCAGGGATGGATCTGGGAGGTGGGGGCAGACTGAGAATGACCAGTACTAACATCGAAAGGAGAGGAGCATGATGTTGGTCACTCCACTCAGAAAAAGAGGATGCAAATGGGAGCAAGGCAAGTTTCCCTGAAGAAGTGACACTTGAGCTGAGAACTGAAGAAAGAAAAAAATTAGCCTGTGAGGAGGGAGGGAAGACCAAGTGTTGGACATCAATTATCGGAAATTTTCTGGAGGATCTCAGGACCATTATATAGTGTGCATTATCTGGGCCAGTGCACCATTGTCCAGTCCTTAAATGGATGATGGTCATAGGATGATGAGGGGGAAACTTGCTCAGTAGGAGATGGCCAGGAGTGCTCAGTGGTCCACAGTCCTTGGTAAGATAGTAGTGCAAAAGCTATAAAAAATAATGGGTCATAGTGAAGACACTTGCTTTTTTTTTTTTTTTAAGTTTACTTATTTATTTTGAGAGAGAGAGGGAGAGAGAACCAGTGGGGGAGGGGCAGAGAGCGGGAAAGAAGAATCCCAAGCAGGCTCCATGCTGTCAGCTGCTGGGCTTGATCTCATGACGGTGAGATCATGACCTGAGCTGAAATCAAGAGTCAGACACTTAACTGAGTCATCCAGCGCTCTGCTTTTTTTTTTTTTAATTAAGCTATTTTCTTCCCAATTCCAGGCAATATACACAGGTTCTCAGGCAAAGAAGTTTTTTTTTTTTTTTAATTTTTTTTTAACGTTTATTTATTTTTGAGACAGGGAGAGACAGCATGAATGGGGGAGGGTCAGAGAGAGAGGGAGACACAGAATCTGAAACAGATTCTGTCAGCACAGAGCCTGATGCGGGGCTCGAACTCCTGGACCGCGAGATCATGACCTGAGCCGAAGTTGGATGCTTAACCAACTGAGCCACCCAGGCGCCCGCAAAGAAGTTTTTTTTATTGTAGATGCATTCAGTGTATTTATTTAACCTCCTCTGAGATTTCATACGTATACAGAAAAGTACACAAAATAAAAGATGCGGAGTGCAATGATTTATCACAAAGTGACACCTTGCAACTAATACCAGGATAATAAATAGAACATTGAGCCAGAAGCTCCTCCTTGTAACCCTCTCCCATTCACTACTCACCCTCTCCTAAAGAGAAAAAAAACAAAAAACAAAAACCCACTATACTTGTGTTTTGTGGTAAACACTTTAGTGCTTTTCTTTAGAGTTTTTTGTTTTTTGTTTTTTTGGGTAAAGAACATATCTCTTTAAACACATATTTTGGTTTTGCCTGTTTTTTTGAGCAAGGGATGAATATAATCAGAGTGTGTATTCATGTGTCTGGATTCTTTGTTCAGCATTGTGTTTGTGATATTTACAAATGTTGTTGCTTGTGGCTGTAGTGTTATCTTTCTGTGCTATACAGAAAACTATTATATGAGTATACCGCAATCATTTGTTCATATTTATCCACTGTGTTGTTGGTGGACCTTGGAATGATCTGTTTTGGGGCATTGAAGGTAAGGTAGCTCTGATCTTTCCTGTGGGTGTTTCTGATGCCTGTGGGCATACATTTCTCTTTGGTCTGCCCACAGGAGAGTAATTGCTAACTTATAGGTTATGTGTATCTTTAACTTTAGCGGATAATACCAAACTGTTTTCCAAAGTAGTTGTACCAATATACTCCCACCAGCAGCATATGGGAATTTCCCTGGCTCCGTATCCTTGCCAACATTGTGAGTCTTTGTAATTTTACCTTTCTGGTGGTTTTGTAGTGATACCACTTACTTTTTCGTGACTAATGAGGTTGAGCACCTTTTTGCATTAATTGGCCATTTGAAATAGTCTGTGACATGCCTGTTCAAGTCTTTTGCCCAATTTTCAATTGGATTGTTTGTCTTTTTCCTACTGATTGTAGGTATTTTTAAAAAATATATTCTGAAGATGAGTTCATAGTTGGTTATCCATGTGGCAGAATCTTCATTTGTTGCTTGCCTGCTTACTCTCTTAAGGATGATTAAAGGTTCTTAATTTTAATATCCAAATTCTTTATAGGTTCCATTTCCTTTATGGTTAGTGTTTTATTATGTCTTGTTCAATAAGTCTTTTTCCAGATTGAGGTTATAAATGTATTATCTTCTAGAAACTTTTCAGTTTTAACTCTTACACTTATTTATTTTTGAGAAAGACATTTATTTATTTTTGAGAGAGACCTGCGCGTGTGTGCACGTGCGCGCATGAGTGGGGGGAGAGCCAGAGAGAGAGGACACAGAATCTGAAGCAGGCTCCAGGCTCTGAGCTGTCAGTTGTCAGCACAGAGCTGGTCTTAGGGCTCTAACTTGTGAACCATGAGGTCATGACTTGAGCCAAAGTTGGGCGCTTAACCGAGTGAGTCACCCAGGTGCCCCTAACCCCTACATTTATATTTACGATTCACTGGGAATTAATTTTTGCATATTGTGTGAGATAGTGGTCAAGGTTTATTTTTTTTAAATGTGTATGGACATCCAGTTGCCCCAGCATGATTTATTGGTAAGTCTATTCTGTTTCCACTGCTCTGTAAAGCGACATTGGTCATGACTCAATGCTCACACATGTGACAATTGATTTGCTTGGGCACTCTAGTCTATTCTTTTTGTCTACTAGAATATTCTTGCACCAGTACCACACTTTAGTTTTATAAT